TTGATGAGATCAGACAGCACAGTGTGAAACCGTGTGAGGTTATCTGTATTGCAGCATACCACTGATTCAAACAACTGTGGTTGCCGCGAGAGTGGGGCAAAAATAAATTTAGTGTATGCACGATGCCTAAACCTTGCGCTTTTAAAGAGATGCGCTTGTCAAAATAGTAAGAGGATCTGTGCAGTTGCTGGCACCAACTGATGGGATAAGGCAGTGTGACCAGAGCCAGCGCATAGAACTCGGGACAGGGAGATGATAATTCGGAGCTTAGAGGGGTTAGGCTGAGAGAGATGCGATGGTCAAGGAGCACACGAGGAATACAGGCTTAACCCACCCTGGGCATTATCTCCCGGGAAATTGAACAACTGTGAAGGGCTTGTCTGGAGTTGCTCGGCTAAAACTCGAGCCCTCGAAGCCAGTGTAGTCGTACGGTATACAGTTGTCAGCATTACAGATGTCACGCGCTGGTTCTCATTTCATAACTTTCTCATGTTCCCACGTGGGACTTTGCTTGCTCTGATGAATATGAGGCGAGACGGACCGCCAGAACTATCACGTGATGGAATGATAACATTGGTGGATTCTGAGGCCAGGAATTTACGGGGGCACGACTTTTTCCAGTAAACGCCTCCGTATCCCTCCCAAGATGTTGTCCTCTTGGAGATGCTGCAAGTATGCCGTAGACGGAGGCGTCTGTGGTAAGCAAAGGGAGATGATCTGTACAAACCACAGATTTGCTCTTATTACTGTACGCGTGCCACAATTTGTAGCATAAACACAGTACAGGGTACCTATTTCAAATATAGAGAGCTGACGATTGGGTGGCGCCCTCCCGAATGTACGGGCAGCAACAACGAAGGTTTAAAGCTTTAGTGTACCCGAGAACCCAAAGTTATGAGAATATCCACACTTTTTGGCTTTGTACTGCACATATCCGGAGCGCGGACATGCTCTTCGCAATGTGGAAAGCGGTTCCTGCATATCAATCAAAATATCGACGGTACTGTAGTGCGGTACACGCTTCTTTGGGGGGCAAACTGTCAACTATGAGAATCGCACAGATACCTACGTACTTGGCAAAAGCCGCGGACTTATGTCTACGATACTATGCCTGTTCACATGTCCTGCACTGCATACAGTACCCTTGCTTTACCATACACGCAGTGCATTTTGTTAAGTGTGGAATGTTCGTGCAGGAACACATCAGCCCCATGCTGCATTGATTTGTATGACTCGGAATTAAAGCAAGCTCGAAATAGTTGTCTAAGATTGACGTCGCCATCTGCGTTCCTGGTGGCCTTGCCTGGTCATTAATCCCCGGTCAAGTTTGGCCACGTTTCTTATCGTTGATGATAAAATAACGGCTTGCAAGGCCACGTGTGACATATGATGGAGCAGATGCTAGCGGGGTACTTCTTGCACAAGGCAAAGCCCCCGTCCGTAGTGGTGAGCTGCGATGTTATCCGCAACCTTGTTTTGGGGATTACTGTATGTGCCTCATTAAGTTTCCGTCCTTGTGGAATTACGCATCGGTGTCACAATTTCATGCCGTTGAGCAGTGTGCGCATGCCCTTGATGCCGCTTGCTAGCTAGCAAGAGATCTTTCTATTACGACGCATTTAGTGTCTTGGTCACCCCAACAAAAACCGCACGTGAATTTAGATCCCCAGGTGCCGAGGAAGAGGCGAGCTGTTCTAATCCAGTTAGATTTAACATCCAAATCCAGTCAAGTGCTTCTCAAAAAAAATCATGGCCTGTGGAGAAAGTACTGTACATGTTGTTTATGTCTGCTTTTATTCAAGATGTCTTCAAGCACATGACCTCGCGTACCATGACGTAACGTACAGTATTGGCCAGCCGTTCCACTCCTGCACAAGGCTACGATAGACTTAAGGGCTCGATATTCCGCGCACTCTGAAACGTGTACCCTGACAATGCATTCCATGTGTTAATGATGCGCTCGATAACGCTCTGCTCATGAAAAGTCTTTGCGTTTCCCTCCAGTGCTTTCTCGCCATGCTCTACTACAGTAACTTTGAGGTGAGCTGTACCTATATTTGAGAGGAGCGCGTTTTCAACATACAGCACATGCCTTCGTGGCAACAAAGAGACAAACATTGAAAGGCTTGTACAGGGGGGTACCCTATTTAGTGCTACCCCCTGGAGCGTGATAAAATAGGCACTAAATCGGGTTTGGCACAAGAACGATAACGTAACAAGAAGAATGTATTTAACTACGCAAACCCATCAAGGTCGTCTGTTTCTGCCTCTTGCGTGGCTTGAGAGCCTCAAATATGATGCGTCTGGCCTTGTGCAAATGTGAAGACGCATCAGGTAGCGAGAGAGCTACCGCTGGCGCCTCTATTTTTTGAGAAATCATTCGCTGCTTCGATCAAGGAGAGAGAACGAGACTGACTAGCATTAGAAATCTCTTCCATCACTTTATCTGTATGCTCTTCTTCAGTTCGCCCAGATGAAACACACCCAGACCCATCTATTTCAAATCGGGTACCCCGGTACTATTTACAACAGAGCTAAGACCCCCCATACAGTCAGTAATTGTACAGTACTGGTGTCTATCTGACCAAGCGTTACCATAGCATAGAAATCTGCGAATTTTATTTCTTTACAACTTTGATGCCCACGATTTCCATTGTTCTTTGGTACATGGACTCGTTTTAAAAGTTTCTAAAGTCAAAAACTGAATAGAAAGCACTCTAGGCAATGCCTATATGCTACTGTTATAAAATTAGCTTAAAGAAAAATGCTTACCGTAAGCTGACTTTTTCTTTTGAACATCTTTATGTACATCAACGAGTTGGTTCTGGCTAGAATCGACGGGCAAGTGCTTTACTTTTTCTAGACATGCGACACGCATGGTGTGGGTCGCATGTCTAGAAAAAATAAAATAACTTTTGTCCTCATTTGAGCTAGACAAAGACTAGCTGAGTATCACAGCGGATCCTATAATTTCAAGAACAGTAATATACGGACAAAAACAATGTACAGTGATTCAACTGTTTGTCACCTTCCTCTCCTGTGTTTTTTTTTCTTTTTTTTTTCTGCCGGCCCAACATTCCCTTCAAACATGGCAGCTCTCAATTTTTGTCATCGAAACTTGCGAAAATAAATCTAGAATTTGGAGATTCCAGGCGCTTGCGGCTTGCACCTTCATTTAAATACCTCTCGTGCCGCGGCACATCAAACTCGAGAGCTTTAATGGCAAACATTAGTTGTGGAATTGCTAGGCTTATGAAAATTAAACAATATGCTTGGTCTGCACTTGAGACCAAGCATATTGTTTAATTACTGTCTTGACAGGTTGTGCAGACTCTGCACAACCTATTAAGACAGTATTCATCTGCCGCGCCTTGACAGCTGTGCAATCTATCCATTGTAATTGAAGCAATAAATCCCAGACCGCCAATTCACTCACAGTTTCATGGCTCGATGTCTCAGGCTATTCTGTTCTACATGTTCCTCGATTAATGTACGGGACACTACATGCATGCTCTGTACAACCGGGGAGGTCCTGGTCAGCTGCCGTTCAGGCAAGAGGATAATCTCAAAGTCTGTGTGGAGCCCCGTTCCCTTACTTGTCTATATGGCTGCCTTGATTCGCTCTGCGGTGGCTCACACTTCTTCTTGCATACGTTCATTGCTCCCGTGTTCGTTTTCTGCAATGCTGAGAGTCATACATACTGTACTCTGTTCTCTACCTGTTGCTGTATGCTGTTGCTGTATGCTTCCCTACCTTCAGCCAAAATCGAAGGGCAGCGAAGTTCCCCCTTTAAAGGTATTGAGAGCCAGGGTCGTACTCAGATTTAGTCGCCTGTTCTTTCACAGGCCACAATATTGATTCTTTTGTCTCCTAACGAGACGAAATTTAAATCGTTCTGACGACCAATTTGACGCCGTTTGAATGCCGCAATGAACCATTATTTAGCAGTACAAGACAAAAAGCAAAGGTGACGAGCAATCCTCACAATGGAAGTCATTTGTCAGCATCGCCTTTGCTCTCGAACTGTACTCGATGATCTCACTATATTGACAAGTGCGTTTTCAACTGCAACTGGATGGGAGCTGGGGGGTATCGGACCGTATGCGGCTTCCCATGTGTTCGTTTCCAGCCGCGTGCGATTTTCAGCTGCAGCAAATTGGTGCCAGCAATGGAGATGGAGATGCTGTGAGATGTGTACTGGAGGTCTCGGGGAGATTTCCGCTTAGACTGTAATTTACTGGGTGTCAAGCACATCGAACAAACCGTTAATAATGTATCACACGTGTTCTGTTTCATCGTTATTTTTTATTCAGTGTAGAGGTGCGGTACATGGACTGTACTTGTACATTGCTGCCGCTAGCTACACGTGTAGTGTCTATCCGACCGGGACCTCATACTGTATGAGGACAGCTCTTTTTTTTTGAAAAATAGATATATTATTAAATTGATTATTTAAAAAGCATTCTTGGACACCATTTCCTTAACGTACTTGTTTTCGGCAATACTGTACTGTAACATCTTGCAGAACATTGGGATTGCACCTCTGAACACGCCGAAAGATCAGGATTGTAAAGCAGATCGAGTACCTAGATCCCTTTTCTAAACTGACGTTTTTGGTTTTTCTAAGTTATTTTACATGCGGTTTTAAGGTGGATTAAAAAGCTGCTTTTTCAGACATATCTAGAAACGACCAGGAAGAACATGCAATTCTCACAAAGTTCTTTCTGGTCCCATGCCAGAATTCAAGTGTGGTGGATTGGGTATCTTTTCCTTTCTTGTCGAGAAAGTGCAAGTCAAGAAAAACATGTCGAAAACTATCCTTGTATGAGGACAACGGTCCAATAGACACTAGTCAGACGAACTTTAAGGCTATGGAAAGACTCACTCAGTACGAAAACATGTGGGCATACCGTACGTATATAGCGCAGGTGCCGTTGCGATGCGAATTCGTATTCAGGCGACTACGGTGTATATCATGTTTCAGGTCAATTAGGCTCACATGGCAAGAACAGGTGCTCTTGAACGAGTGGTTTCCGTACTCTTGCTTGACCGTATTTTGTTTTTGAATGTGTTTTTTCACATGCGCAGAAGACGGAGACTTGTCAAACTAAAACATGATGATGACACAGTCATCTTTTTAGAGATAGAGAATGACGCTGAAACAGCGAAAAGATTATTTCGCAGACTCTGGGGCATAAAGGCCATGCCTTTGGCGCCTTTGATATCATTGTGCTTCGATACTGTGGGTTTAGGAAGGGCCCAAAAGGTAAATTCATCATACCAGGGTCATTGAATTTGTCTCGAAGACATCGACACATCCATACCATTGGAGGGGGGGAAAGTTATCTCAGGAGGAGACACTGCTTTTGCCCTTGCGATAGGCTTGAACATTGGGGAGTTTCCCATCTCATCAATAATGACGTGAGTCTTGAACATCGTCTCAGTTTGATGTCGAATAGATCAAGCAGATAAACGCGATCTTAACACCGGCTCTACCGCAGAGGGTCGAAATTGGTTTCCTGAGATGTCGCCTTGGGGTTTGCAGCGCGAATGCTGAGAACGAAAACCCGATAGCAGGGGCTATGGGGTGCGTCTGTGGTTTTCAATAGAAGAGGCAGTATAGATGACTGAAATCGAACAATCTGCTTACCTGAAAGAGGGAGCAGAGGCGGTGTTTCATTCAGTGAGGCACATCAAAAGATTAACATTAAAACGAATGCATCTCTGAGGGGCCTCTCAGCCCGCGCTGGTTGCGCAGTGTGGGTCAACGGGCAAACCTTGTGTCACAAGTGCGCCAGTCTTGCACCATTGCGTTTAAATTCCTGTTGTTGTCCGACAAATTTTGCCTCGGCCACGACAAAGAGTCTCAAACTATGCACTCCTACATATACAAGCATAAAACGGATAAAACAAATTTGACCGCAGCCTCTAGGTCGTCGATTAATATACCACATTCACATACAGTGCACAGTGCACCTCGCGAGAGCATGCAACCGATTACAATTAATGAAAGCAAATGTAGAAATTCATGGATCTTGCCCGGAGAAAAGAACCTGACTACAAAGATGCAGACTATAAGCCCAAGGTTGCGCAAATCGGCGAGAACAGTATGCATCCATGTCGAAAACCTCTGGCTTGCGATTAGCCTACACCGACAATATCAGTATTTGTTTGATAAATAATAGAACACTACAAATACTGCACCGACAGTCTCAGTGTTTGTTTGATACATAATAGAATACTACAAACATCAGTCGCAATTCGTTTACAGTGTTCAGGGCTGTAAAACATACCGTACTTCGGCTGAATATTCGATGGACAGAGCCTACGAAACTCGAAATTATCGTTGCAAAGTTTTTCCTTGTGCAATAAATTTGTGTTGACCTCCCCTTT